CGTTGAGCTCCGCCGATAGCAGGCAGCCCCTGTGTCGGCCCTCGCTGCAACGCCTGCGCCGTACTGAAGTGCCTCGGCGGAGAAGCACGCGCTGGCGCCAGCACGCTTCCTGCGGATCATCGAACGTCGACCCGTGCTGCAGCCACAGCTCCCACTTCCGCACCGACATGCAGTCCAGGTGCTGGACCGACGGCCTGACGTTCGAGCGCTGCTGCATGGAGTCGAGCTCGGACGCCTGCCTGCAGCGGTTTCACGCGGCGGCCGACGCCGCCGAGACGTGCGAGGGCTACCGCGACGCGCACGCCGCGGACCTGGGGCGGTGCATGGCGTGGACGCTGCCAGATCGGCGCTTTCCAGAGCTGGTGGCGGGAGATCTCGTGAGCAGCGGCCGGGCTCGCTGCTTCGAGCTCACCTTCGCGCTGCCGGAGGACGCGCCCAGCGCCTACGCCGCGTCGAACCGCGGCGGGAAGCCAGAGTGGGAGTGCGTGGTGGGCGCGTGTCCGTGGGTCCGGGTGGGCCTGTGCACCCCGAACATCTGCGACCTGGGCGACGTGATCAGGTCCTGGCCCTACTTCCTGGACCTGGCCAGCGGCAACAACTGGTGCTCAGGGGCAGCGTGCCCAGACCCCCTCGCGTTGTGAAGGACTCACGGCGGGAGCTTCGCCACTATCTTCTGCCTCCGGGGGTCCTTGCCGGTCCTCGGGGCGGTCCAGAAAGGACTCAGGATGAAAAACTGGCCCCGGGGAAGGGGTCCAGACCTCTGGGGGTCGACGTTGTGTTTTGGTTTGTGGTGGACAGGCTCAGGGGGGACGCATCGACCCGCGATCGCCCCGTGATCCGTCGCCAGCGCAGCCATGCGGTTCGTTCGGTTATGGCGAATCACCAGACGACCAGGCGGAGCCAGGGCTGGTTCTGTAACTAAGAAGCACAACCCGTCCTGTGAGTCGGGCTCGGGTGCACGTGTTAGCTCTAGAACTAGCACGGTTACCCATGTAAAGAGTGGCCAGCACACGAACTATAACCCGCCCCGCCCAGGAGCGTGCGGATTCTTCACCGAGGGCCTCCCGCCGACCACCCAGCGGCGATGCATCGCGGATGCCTTGTCTCCGCTCCCCCCCTCCCCTGAGCGGGTCCTCCCCCCGAGCGTTGCCCCTCAGGTGCTCTTGGCCGCTGGTCTTCGCCCGCGAGTACCTCACCTTCCGGGAGGTGGTCCCAGACATGATCGCGTCGTTGAATAATCAGGACAGGAGGTTTTCGGCTATTTTCGGCGTCGGGGGGCCCTCGCTGGGCCTCCGCGCCGTCAAAAAACGACTCAGGAAGAAATACTGATCCCGGGGAAAGGGTCGGGACTTCCAGGAACCTCGCACTGAAAAAAACAGGACGTCGCATGTGTGGGGTCCAGACATGTTTTTTTCGCTCGTGTCGTATTTTGCTGGCCTCATCCCGATGCCTTCTTACCCAGCCTTCGGCGCGTGGCTTCCTCCACGTTTCGGCGCCAGCTGTGGAAGCATGCTGCCAGCTCCCCCCATCTTCCCCAGACCCCCGACGTCATGATTTTTTCATTGCGTCGACCCCCCAGGTCTCGACCTCCTCCCCGGGACCGGCTTGTCGTCCCGAGCCCTTTTTTGCCGGTCCCGAGGCCCGGTAAAAGGCCACCAGGGGCCGACAATTTTGCGAAAGACCTCCCGCCATGATCTTTCCATTGCTCGAGGGGGTCTGGGCCTCTCTCTCTTTCAAGAAGAAACCCTCCGCGAGCAATGGATCAAGCAGAAGATACCCAAGAGGGTTATACCCAAGAGGGGGTCTGGGCCTCTCCCCCCCAAGAAGAAACCCTCCTCGAGGGTTTCTTCTTGAGGGTCTCTCTCTCAAGAAGAAACCCTTCGCGAGGGGGTCTTGGGATCTCCCCCCCAAGAAGAAACCCTCCGCGAGGTGGTGGACCCCTGGGTGCGGCCCGTGAAGTTCCTGCACCTCCGGCGCACGGCCGGCACCACGCTGAAGACGCGGATGCTGCGCCTCCAGCACGCGGCCGGCTGGCCGCACCCGGGCACCACCCGGGGCGCCCCGATCCTAGGCGGCGGGGGGCCGGAGGAGACCACGGCGGCCCCCTGCCCAGCCCAGGTCTGTCCTCACGTCGGGCATGTCCCTCTTCAGGAGGGGTATTCCGAAATAGTCAAGAGCAGCAGTCCGGAGACGATTTGTCGAGCATTTTGTGTCGCCAGTTTTCACCATTCACCAAACCACCCAAACCCAACCCGAAGGCCTCAATTTGCCCTCCGTTTCCAGTGTGGGGGGGTCGGGGAACATCGACAAAAACACACCTGGAGCCCATACCCCCCCCCCGTGGTCTGGTAGGTAAAGTCAATTTTTGCGCACTTTGTGACGATTTCTGATTTTTCGTCCACGTGCTGCCTTTAGACGAGTTGCTGAGCATTTTTTTCGCTGCTTTGGGGCGCCGTGTGGCGATTCGTGAGTTTTCGTCCAAATTCTCCCTGTATAGAGGAGGAGCATGCCCGGCCCAGATCTGTCCGCTCAGGGTCGCTCCCCTGAGCCCTTCCCGGCCCGCGTCTCGGGGCGGGCCCCGCCGGGGGAGCGGGGGGAGCCTCTCCAGGAGGCGCACGACCGAGGCCCCCTCGAGGAATGATGCGTCGGGCCTGTCCCTCTGCAGGAGGAATATTCAAGAATAGTCTTTAAAAAGTAGCTCGGGGACAACTTTTGACTATTTTTGCATTTGTTGGTATATTTTTGGACCATTTTTATTTCTCGTCCAAAATCCCCGTGTAGAAGGGCATGCCCGACCTAAGAGTAATGCCGTGATCATGGCGGGAGGCTTTTCACCATTTTCGGCCTCTGGGGGCCCTCACCGGGCCTCGTGGCCGTCCAAGAACCACTCAGGATGAGGAGCCGCTCCCGGGGAAGAGGTCGAAACCTCTGGGTGCCGACGTCGAGAATAATAATAATAATAATAATAATAATACTAATAATAATAATAATAATCATATTAATAGTAGTAATATAATAATAGTAGTAATAATAATATTAATAATAATAGTATTAATAATGATATTAATTGTAGTAATAGAATAATAATACTACTAATAATAATAATAATAATAATAATAATAATCGTATTAATAATAAGAAGAAGGAGAAGTCCTGACGTCGGGGGTCCGGGGCCCGAGGGCGGGGAGGCGCCGGGGAGGGCCGCCGCCGTCTCGACCCGGCCCTCCTCCTGGCGCCGGGAGGAGGAGGAGCGGCGTGGGCAGGAGCTCGTCGGGAGGCCGCGCGGACTTCTCGGGTCGGCGCCCGGGGCGGCCCCATTTCCCTTCGGGTGGCAAGTCGTGGGAGCCTTCAGTGTGCCCTCGTAGGTCTGTCTCTTTGGAGTGCGTTGGCGTCGATCAGCGCCCGGTAGTCGATGAGATGGTGCCGATTCAGCGTCGATGAGCGTCGATTCAGCGTCGATTCAGCGTCGATTCAGCGTAGATTCGCAAGAGCCAACAAGATGGTATGGGAGGCCCCTATGAGTTGGCGCAGAACCCCTTCCCTGGTGCGCGGAGCGCGCCAGGGGCGGCGCCAGAGGCGCCGCCAGGGGGGTCCCCAGCGCCGATGCGAGAGCTCCGCGCGGAGCTTGGGCAGCTGATGCTCGTGCCGCCCTCTTCTCCTCCTGCACGTGCAAGACGGAGGTGTACGTGCCGCTGTGCGACGACGACGTCGGCCCCCAGCTGGCCTTCTCCGTGCGCGACCCGCTGCGGAGGTTCGTGAGCGAGCACAGGCTCGTTGGGTAGCAAATCATGGGAGCCTGGTGTACCCTCTTCATTCCGTCTTTAGCGCCGACTAGCGTCGATTCGCGTCTGGGAGTCGATGAGATAGCCCCGATTTGGCCTCGGTCAGCGTCGATCAGCGTCGACTTGGTGCCGATCCAGCGTCGATTAGCGTCGGCTAGCGTCGACTAGCGTCGATTCGCACGAGCCGACAAGATGGTACGGGAGGCTCCCATGAGTTTCGGGCCGAACGAAGGGGGGGGATAGGGAAAGGGGGGGGTACGAAATCTGCTGCATGCAGCTGGTTTCGGCCCCGCCGCCGGGCCCATTCCTCGGTACATGGGCGCCTCCCGGCGCCGGGAGGCGCTGGGAAAATCAGCTGCGTGAGCTGATTCTCTACCCCGCCCTTTGCTTCGTTCCCCCCGAGAGTTCCCCCCGAGACTTGCCCCCGAAGGCTCGAGGGCCGCGCCTTCGCCGGCTCCCTGGAGCCGCGGGCGCTCGCGGCGGCCCTGGGGGATGGGGAGCGCGCTGCAGAGGCCCGCTCTTGCCGTGGGCTCGGCACCGCTCGGACGTGTGCGTGTCTCCTCGGCGAGGGCCCTCGGGGAGCATCGTGGGCCATCTTGGAGACTGTTTTTTTTAGGGTCGGGCGATAACCCGGGTTATCGGGCTTGCCCCCCCCCCGCGCCCCCAGGATAACCTAACCTTGCCGGTTGTGCAGGTCCGCGGGAGGGGGGACGCGGGCATATGCAGGGCTGCCCACAGCGTGAGGGTTAGGTTATCGGCCGGCCCCCTCCTCCCCCCGCTCCCGTGATAACCCGGATTATCGCCGATTCAAAAAACAAGCGGTCTCTTGCGAAACCGTACGCGCAGGCGGCCGAAAGATACTCGTTCTGGGAATGGGCGTCCGAGCGATGGCGAGTGGAGGAAGCGGGTCGTCCCCTGAGGGCAACGGGTCTTGTGTTTTTTCGCCGTGGTCGGCTTCCTGCGGCCCTCCGCGGCATCGTCGCCGTGGAGAAGGCGGGACCCCTGAGGGGAATCGGTCCTCATGGTTTTCTCCGTTTTCAGCTTCCCGCGGCCTTCCTGGTTTTCACAGGTTTTGGGTGTCTTTCAGTCGCTTTCCCAGCCTTGAGATGCGTTCCAGCAGCTGCGCATCGCCGAGAGCATTCTGGGGGTGCCCGGATCGTCCCAAACGGCCTCCAGAGACTCGAGTCAGGACCTGAAAACAAGACGCCGAGGATCATTCGGCTGGGACGAGAGGGTGGGATGGGGAGAGGGAGGGGTTGCGAAATCTGCTGGGTGCAGCTGGTTCCGTCTCCGCCGCCACGCCCCTCCTTCGATACATTGGCGTCTCCGACGCCGCGAGGCGCCGGGAGAATCGGCTACGGAAGCTGGTTCGGTTCCCCCCCCACCTTTTCTTCTACCCGCCCCGATCCGATCCACGGGCCCAAGATTTTCGCCAGGAGGGAGAAAGAGGCACGCACGGATACACGTGAACGTATATTTCCGTGAAGATATGGGGAAGCCTGGGACCTGGAGGGGAAGACGAAAACCCAGAATGCATGGAAAACACGAAGACTCCTGGGCGCTGTTCCCCAATCGGAGCTTGCCTCTGCAGGGGTCCCAGCGGATTCATATGGTTAGGTGAGGTTTGCCACCGATTTCCGCGGCCCGCCCAGGGGCCGGGTGCCCGGGTGCCCGGGTGCCCAGGTGCCCATGTGCCCTATAGCCCATTAGTACTATAGCCCTATAGCCCTATAGCACTATAGCCCTATCGCCCTGTAGCCCTATAGCCCCATAGCCCAATAGCCCTATAGCCCTATAGCCCTATAGCCCTATAACCCTACAACCCTATAGCCCTATAGCCCTGTAACCCTATAGCCCTATAACCCTATAGCCTTATAGCCCTATAGCCCCATAGCCCAATTGCCCTATAGCCTTATAGCCCCATAGCCCAATAGCCCTACAGCCCTATAGCCCTATAACCATATAACCCTATAGCCTTATAGCCCTATAGACTGCTAGCCTTCTAGCCCTATAGCCCTCTAGACCTATAGCCCTATAGTCCTATAGCTCTATATGCCTATAACCCTATAGCCCTATAGCCCCATAACCCTATAACCCTGTAGCCCTATAGCCCGATAGCCCTACAGTCCTATAGCCCTATAGCCCCATAATCCTATAGATCTAGCCCTGCAACCTTGTAGCCCCTATAGCCCTGTAGCCTTATAGCCCTATAGCCCCATAGCCTCATACCCCTGTGGCCTAGTAGCCCCATAGCCCTATGGCCCAATAACCACATAGCTCCATAGCCCTATAGCCCTAAAAAGACGATAATCGGGGCTTGCCTCCGGTATCATGCATATTCATTTGCGCCTCCCAGCGTCGCCTTCGCGAGAGCTGGCCCTCTGGAGGGGACGGCCCCGGGGTCCAGGGGGTGGGGGGGGCCCTGGCCCTCGGGGCCCTGCGCTGTGGCTTCTCGTGCCAGCGAGGCCTGGGTGGCCATGCGGGACTTCGCCACCCTCGAGGGCTACCTGGGCGGCATCCTGAACGTCCACAGGTTGGCGTCACCCCAACATACCGATGCACTCTGCGCGCGTCGCCCTCCCCCCCCCCCCAGGGGCGACGCGCGCACCGAGACATCTTATATGGTACATGCGTCGTGGCGGGCGCGTTCTGGCCATACCGCTCGGGAGGCGATCTACTGCAAGATGGGTATGCTGCATGTTCGGGTCGGGCTCGCGCCTCCAAGGAGGACATCGTTACAGTATCAGCATGCCTCTGTGCGTCTCCCAGCAGGTGCCTGCTGCGGGGGAGGATCTCCTTCGTCGGCCGCACGGAGTTCGTGGCGGACGACGCCGTGGGCCTCTACCGCGCCACCGTCGGGCCCGCCCTGGACGACGCGCACGGTGCAGGGCTGTGGCTCAACGCCAACGCGAGCGCACCTCACCGGAGCGCGGAGCAGGCGCGGGGCCGCCTGCGGCTCGATGCGGTGCGACTCGCCGGGCCGGCCGAGAGGCCGCGATTCCGCTCCGATGCGATGCGGCCCCGTGCCGTGGCATCGGCCGGGGGCCAGGAGGAGCCGGGCGCGGCGATCCGGCTTCGATTCGGCTCGGGAGGACTCGCTGGCGGTCCGATGCGTCTCCGATCCCAGTCGATTTCGCGATGCGATCCAGCTCAGGCCCGGCAGGAGATCGGCGAGGCGGGCTCGCGGGCGCTGAGCGCCTTCCTGGCCGAAGACTCGGGTGTTGCTAGAAGTGCCGCTGGCCCAAGGTGCCCCCAGGATCTCCAAGGAGGCCCCCACGGCTTCTGGAGCACCCTTCAGCAGGCCCAGAGGGCCCCAGGGGCTCCAAACCTGAGCGAAAAGCTGGTGGCACCTTGTCGAGGTCTCCCAGATGGAGTCCAAGTAGATGAGGTCGGACGATGGCACCGCATCGCCGATGCATCGGCGATGCGGCTCGAGGTGGAGCCTGATCTTCTCCACGCCGACGTCGCCGATGCATCGCCGACGGCGCCAGTGCATCGCTGATGCGTCGGCGATGCGGCGCGACCCCATCTATCACCACCTACCAGACCACCCCAACCCAACCCGAAGGCCTCAATTTGCCCTCCATTTCCAGTGGGTGGGGGGGTCAGGGAACGTTGAAAAAACACATGGAACCCGTACCCCTCCCAACCCGAAATTCGGGTCAAATTCGGGTCTTCGGGTTGGGTTGGGGTGGTCTGGTAGGTAGTCAATCTACTCGGACCCCATCTGGGAGGCCTCCGCCTTGGGCCAGGGGCACCTTTCGGCGACCCCCGAAGGACTACTTCATCCTGTCGCTGCTGGCCTGGCGAGGCATGCTGCCGCCCTCGTACCTCCAGCTCCTCGGCGTGCGGCCGGACGTCCCGCCCACTGGCGGCCTCGAGGGCGACTTCGGACGCGGCGAGCAGGGCTGTGCGAGGAGGAGGAGGAGGAGGAGGAGGAGGAGGAGGAGGAGGAGGAGGAGGAGGAGGAGGAGGAGGAGGGATGGAGGAGGAGGAGGGAGGGAGGGAGAGAGGGAAGGAGGGAGGCAGGGAGGGAGGGAGGAGGAGGAGGGAGGGGACGGGAGGGGAGGGTAGGGGAGGGGAGGATGAGGAGGAGGAAGAGGAGGAGGAGGAGGAGGAGGAGGAGAAGGAGGAGGAGAAGGAGGAGGAGGAGGGTGTCGACGACGATGATGGTGATGTTGATGTTGATGGTGATGGTGATGGTGATGATGATGATGATGATGATGATGATGATGATGATGATGATGATGATGGATGTTGATGATGATGATGATAATGATGATGCTGATGATGCTGATGATGGTCATGGTGATGGTGATGATGATGATGATGGTGGTGGTGGTGGTGGTGGTAAGGATGATTGTGACGACGATGATAATCATGATGAGGATGCCACTAAGGTTAACGATGATGCTGTTGATGATGCTGCTGATGATGATGCCGATGATGCTGACGATTATGCTGCTGCTGATGAGAATGCTGATGCGAATGCAGCTGTTGCTGCTGCTGCTGCTGCTGCTATAGTTAGTTGTTGTTGTGGTTGTCGTCGTGGCTGTTGCTGTTGTTGTTGTTGTTGTTGTTGTTGTTGTTGTTGTTGTTGTGTCGTTGTGATTGTTGTGGTTGTTGTTGCTACTGATGTTGTTGCTGCTGCTGGCGATGGTCATGATGATGACGAGGACGACGACGATGCTGATGATGATGGTGACGATGATGATGTTGTTGATGATGAAGATGACTGTAACGACGATGATGATAATGATGAGGTCAATCAGGTTAATGATGATGCGGTTGTTAATGACGATGCTGCTGCAGCTGATAATGCCGATGATGCTGACGATTATGCTGCTACTGTTGATGATAATGCTGCTGCTAATGCTGTTGCTGCTGCTTGTATTGTTGTTGCTGCTCTAGTGGCTGTTGTTGTTGTCATTGTTGTTGTTGTGGTTGTTGTCGTCGCTTTTTTGGTGTTGCTGTTGCTGTTATGGTTGCTGTTGTTGTTGTTGCTGTTGTTGTTGTTGTTATTGTTGTTGTTGCTGTTGTTGTTGTTGTTGTTGTTGCTGTTGTTGTTGTTGTTGTTGTTGTTGTTGTTGTTGTTGTTGTTGTTGTTGTTTTTGCTTCTGCTGTTGTTGTCGTTGTTGTTGCTGTTGTTGTAATTGTCGTCGTCGTGTTTGTTGTTGTGGTTGTTGTTGTTGTTGCTGCGGCTGCTGTTGTTGCTGTTGTTGTTGTTGTTGCGGTTGAACATTATTTATTCTAAAGAATAATTATTGTTGGGCCCCCTGGTGCGCGCCCCCCCTGCGCCGCCTAGGCCGCAGCTACATTTTCATCATTTTCGTGAGGAAGCCTCAGAAAAGAGGGTGTGTACAGGATCCGGTTGTTTTGTTGTAATCCGCTTTCCCTTGCAAAAAACAATAGAAAATGACATTTCTTGTTCTAATATAATCAAATTTCAAGAATCCCTTGCAAAAAATAAGGTAAAGTGGACATTCGCGCGCGCAAGACGAAATCCTTCCAAAACCTTAGTGTTCGCAGCGATTTTAACATAAAAACATCAAAAAACCAATGGTTTTTCAAAAAAAAATGTCAAAATTTCATCCCGCGCGCTCTTGCGGATTCGTAGGAAACCCAACACTTTTTAAACATTTCTGTCAAACGGGCTTTTGCGAGCAACTTTTTCGAACTTCTGCGACAACGGTTGCGCACCTGCCAGGGCCATCATCCCTGTCAAATAATACCATGCGGGACACATTCGTTTTTTCTTCGCGCGCGCACGCCGTCGTCGTCGGCCGCGGGGCCCTGAATAGTAGCCACGGTCGTCCGCATGCCACGAAGTGAAGTGTCCGAACGTCATAGGGCGGGAAGCTGGGTGTGGGTGGTGGCGAAGAGTCGTTTGGAAATTTGGTAGAGCTTGAACCGGCCCCCCCACAAAGTGGGGGTATTGCCCGCCTCCTATGAAAACCCTGGCACTGGTGAGAACGGAGTGTCCCCACGTGCTAGTAATTGTTGTTGTTGTTGTTGTTGTTGTTGTTGTTGTTGTTGTTGTTGTTGTTGTTGTTGTTGTTGTTGTTGCTGCTGCTGCTGTTGTTGTTTGTTGGCTGTTTTGGTTGTTGTTGTTGTTGTTGCTGCTTCTGTCGTTGCTGTTGTTGATGATGCTGATTATGATGAGGACGACGACGTCGACGACGATGCTGCTGCTGCTGATGCGGTTGATGGTGGTGATGATGCTGCTGTTTATGCTGGTACTGATGATGCTGCTGAGGATGATGCTGATGATGATGAGGATTATGATGATGAGGAGGAGGAGGAAGATGAGGAGGAGGAGGAGGAGGAGGAGGAGGAGGAGGAGGGGGAGGCGGAGGAGGAGGAGGAGGGGCAGGATGGGGGAGGAGGAGGAGGAGGAGGAGGAGGAGGGAGGAGGAGGAGGAGGAGGAGGAGGAGGAGGAGGAGGAGGAGGAGGAGGAGGAGGGAGGAGGAGGAGGAGGAGGAGGCGGGATGAGGTGCCTCGGAGTTTCCCGGCACCCACAAGTCGGTGGGAGCCCACGTACGACACGACCGAGGATCGCCAGAGCTCGCTAGGGGGCCGTCGGAGAGCCTCCCTGCGCCTCACCCTGCACTCGTCGCAGGCCGCCGCTGCCGCCGATGCCCGCCGAATGGGGTGCAGACCCCTCCGAAGCAGCGAGAGGCTCTCGCGGCCTTTGCGGGTCTCGCCCCCGCACTCCCCTAAGAGGTTGTGTCGGAGGTTGATAGACCTCCTACCCTGACACGTCGATTAGCGAATTTGCCGTTTTCGGTTCGCGAGAGGGCGTCGCGGTCGTCATGTTTGCGGGTCCAGGTCCGTCGGTTTCGGTCCCAGGCCGTTTTCACTAAAGAGTGGTTTGCTAAAGGGAGGTTTGTCCACCGCCGATTGCGGGGGTCAAGGGCGGCAGTGCACCCGCAGCGAGAACAGACACGAAGGCCGTGTCGCGGCCATGGCAAGTGATGCGGCTCGTGCAGCATCCTCCCACCCAAGCCCCGCCCACCGCCCCCCGTGTGGCATCGGCGGGATGTTCCCTGGGCCGTCCCGCGACGGCCTGCCACGGTGAGGCGCACTGCATCTCCAGCGTGGTGACTGGCACCAGCTCGTGGCAGAAGGCGCAGGCCCAGTGACGGCCCGCCTTGACGAAGCAGTGGGCGGAGCTGGACAGGGCCTGTTGGATAGCGGGCTTGGGGGGCGGGGGGGGGGCGAGCTGTGACGGGTCTCTCTGCCGTCCAGGGAGCTGCCGTCGACGCGTCGGCGAAAGCTTGGCGAGCTCACCTGCGCACCAGAGCCGCAGTGCAGTCCCAGACGTCGGTATCTGGGGGCCTCCCGACGATGGCGGCCGACCAGGCGCGCCTCGAGGCTTCACCTGCGAGTGCGTCCGCGGCCCCTCAAACTACTGCAAAGCAAGGGAAAACGCACGCAGCTCGGCCCCCGGGACCGCTTGCCGCCGCCCAGCGAGGGCGACCCCAGCGAGCCTCTCGGGGCCCCTATCGGAACATCTCATCACGACCGCAGCCGAGCCTACGCGTCTCCTGCGTACATCGCTGTTCTAATGACCGCCTGAGACATCTCCAAAGACCACGAGCCACCTCGAGTCAACGAACTTAAGGCCAAACATTCGACCGAGATCGGTCTCTCATCGTCGCTCCCCTCCCCCCCACCGTCTACGCCCGAGCTCCCCCGCCTCCGTCGGAAAAGGTGGGAGTGGTGAGTAACGTTGGGGGCAGCCCCCCTGAGCCACAGGGAGGGAAGCTGCTAGTGGCCCGCTAGGGCCTGCGGGCACAGAACATCGGACTCATCGTAGGCGGGGTCCCTCCGATTGCAAGGGCACCCCCGTATCCTTTGCCAAAGCGAATCTGGGAGAGGAGGAGGAGGAGGAGGTGGAGGAGGAGGACAAGGACGAGGAGGAGGATGAGGAGCAGGAGGAGGAAGAGGAGGAGGAGGAGGAGGAGGAGGAGGAGGAGGAGGAGGAGGAGGAGGATTGCTCATTAGCTCTACAGGCCTGGTGTGCTACAGCATTTACCTACGGCTAGACACCCAAGGCCGACTTTGAATGACGCCCAAGGCACTCCATCCACTCGCTTCGAGTCTTGCACACAAGCACGAACTATCAACAGTAGTACCATCTCATTTGGGTATACGGCCAGCCTCTACTACAGGCCAGCCGTACACAGTTATCTTGCACAGCGAGCTGCCCCTATCGTTCTCACCCGCTTTTGCGCTTAGCTCCTTTTGGCCACATCAGCTTAGTACCTAGTGGCACTCCCCCCTCCTACAGTTGCAGACATGTCTGCACATCTTTGGCAGTCCACAGGTGCCACCTTTAATATAATATCTACTTGCTCTGCGCAGGCATCAGCGTGCACACCTACGCCTGGAAGCAGCCCGTACAGCATCTGTTCCTTGTTGATTTGTTTTACTGACTGCTGTTGTTATTAGATACAGGCTGCTTCCACCAGAGCTCTAGGCCCAACGCAGTGTTACTATCATCCCCTTCTTGTGAGGTTGCGGGGGTGCAGGACCTGGCCAAAGGGGGGGAGGCGCTCTCTCCTGCAGATTTGGGGTTATCCTACAGAACCCTGGATTGCAGCCCTAGGATTGCACATTTTCGCCATTCATGCTCCTGTCTCCTCACATCACTGTTCTGCTGCTCACCCTCCTTCTTCCCTCGCGGCTCGTTCGACACGCATGGTGGCGCTCTCCCACTTGCAGGTTCGGAGTTCTCCCACACAAGCCTGGGTCGCAGCCCTAGGATTGCACAGCAATTCGTAAAGCCAGGTGTGCTACCGCACTTACCTACGGCCAGACACCCAAGACTGACTTTGATGGACGCCCAAGGCACTCCACTCGTCTCGAATTCTTGCGCGCAAGTGTTAACAGTGGTGCCATCTTTGGAATACTCAGCCAGCCTCTGTTGCGGGCTGGCCGCGCACAATTAGCTTGCACAGCGGTTTGCTACAGTCGTACCGGCTGCTGCGCTTACCTCCTTGTGGCCACATCGGCGTAGTACCTAGTGGCACCCCTCCTACAGTTGTACGCGCGCAACACCGCTTTTACTGACATTGGATACGGAGGCGGTGGCCCCTCCACCTAGGAACCGAAGAGCGGGCCTACTGCTGGCAAAAGAGCGGGCCTATTGCTGGCAAGAGCGACTTTTCACTTAGACTTTCAAGCCTTACTGTCCCACAAGGCCCACACTCGATTTTATGTATTCTAAGGCCAAGCAGCACGCACACAGTCCTTGTATTCTTCCTGTCCTAGACGTTCACGTGAACAGCCTGCCCACATAAGCGGACTGGTTGCACAGTGCGTGCGGTAATCAGCTGATGCTACCACGGCTGCAACACGGGCCCGCTTGTTTCCGATAGGCCAGCCTGCGCAGGCCAGCCTTCGCTTCGCACATGTACATCTTCTGATCCTGTCCTTGTTTTTTCTTGCCTCTGTTGTTGCTGCAAGCCGCTTGGCACCTACTATGGCGGAGCGGGTGCTGGATGGTTACGGCGTTGTCGGAGGATGACTGTCGTGCAGTGCTGACATGACTTTGCATTCTTTTCTCCAAGCTGACATTTACTAGCTACAGTGAGCTTCCATTTTGGCACGTCAGTAGGGAAATGACCTGTCACTCCCACTGTGGACTACGCGCAGCCCAGTAAACTCAAGCTTGCCCGACACGTTGGTGGCTCCTCACTCACACTTTCATATTAGTTAAGCATCTGACATTTCTTGCCTGCTGAGCACCAGCAGCCGTTTACTTTTACTCTGCTCTTTCTCCAAGTGCTGCTGGTTCTTGTGCCACTAGCTGGCGCATACTGAGACAATTCTCGGGGGGTATCGGTGGTGGTGCGGGAGTTGGCGGGTCGGCGGAGGAGTATATTATCTACCGTTTGGGTTTAACCAACACCCTGGGCAGCAACCCTAGAACTGCGCAGTCACGGCGACGCTCTGTATTTATTCCACTTGCCCTTGTTTATGTCCTAGAACATACTTCGGTTATGTGTTCAACTGTTGTTTGCACTCCAAGGTACATGCTGGGACCTTGCTTACCGAGGCGGCAGCGCCAACTGTTCTTACGGGCTCTTACCTTAGGCTATACTGGTGGGAGGGGGACTTTACCTACTCAGGTGGTGCCCGACCTCGATGACCTGGCGGGCGCCTATTCATATCTTCTTCTTCTCTTGTTCTTCTCTTAGCTCATTTTCCGCGACGCCCACCAAGTTTCTTTGCGCCGAGTCGTTTCACCACACTCGCAAGAACGCCACATACTCACACATAAAGTCTGGCCAACGCAAAAAGGAAGAGGAGGAGGAGGAGGAGGAGGAAGAGGAAGAGGATGAGGAGGAGGAAGAGGAAAAGGAGGAGGAGGAAAAGAAGAAGGAGGAGGAGGAGGAGGAGGAGGGGGAGGAGGAGGAGGAAAGGGAGAGAGGAGAGAGGAGGAGAGAAGACGAGGGGGGCAGCCTCAGAGGCGGCGCGCAGCGCTGCGCGGGCGAAGAATGCGCGGCCCAGTGCGCCAGCGCCGGTGCCGAGTGGCTGGCGGGACTGCTGCCGGCCGCCGCCTCGGGCGCCTCTGCGGCGCCGTGGTGGCTCGTGTGGCTGGACGGCGGCAGCGGGCGGTGCAGGGTCGCGGGCGCGGTAGGCGAGGCGGCCGCGGCCGCGGTGCAGGCCGCGCTGCTGCGCGAGGACCCCGGCAGCGGCGCGGCCCTCGTGCCGCCGCGCGGCGGGCCGCGCCGCGGCCCTCGCCCCGCGGGGCCCCAGCCGCCGTGCGCGGCACACCTGGAGGAGGTGGCGGCGGCGCTGTGCACGGAGCAGGCGTCGAAGAAGGGGGGAGCCTGCATACAGTCAACCCGCACAGTAAGGATGGGCCACATTCCCAAGGGTACCCCTGGCATCCTTGCCTCCTCGGTCCAGCCTTGGCCACTTTCGTTCGCCGCGCCGCGCTTGAAAAGCTTCGAGACGGGCGCCCCAGGCCCTTGCATCCTTATCGCGCGTCCTTACGATACGGGCCGACTGTACGGCCAGGAACTTCGGCTCAGCGTTTGGCGCTCACGCTGCGGCGCGTCACGCTGCTTCCACTGCCCGGTCCCTGGGCGTCGGCGTCCCGATTTTTTTTTGCCCGCCGTCCCGTCCCTCGCGAGGCGGAGCGACAGGCTGCCCCCTTGCGGGGCATAGCATGTCGCCCGGGCCGCCGCGGCGACACGCTAAGCAGCAGCTCTCGTCCAAAAGCACAGTTCGAGGAGCGCAAGCTGGCAAAAACGGAAGCTTTCGGAGGTCCGCGCGGACTTCCTACATTTTATGGCTACGTACTTGTTGGTGCCTCGAGTAATGTCCAGCCAGCGGCTCTGGCCTCTCCCGGCCACGCGGAGCGGTGCGACACGCTACCAGCCAGCTTGGGAGGCATAGTGCGTCGCCAGGACCGCCGCCGCCACACGCGAAGCAGAAGCTCCCGACCGTGATCGCACGGGGCTGGGACAAGGACAGATGCGTCCCAGAGCGTTCTGGAACACTCTCAGAGCGTTCCAGAACTCTCCGAGAAGGGCGCGGCGCCCGATCCGTCCTCCAGAACCGCTGGATCTCAGAGATTCTCGATTTACCCCCCCGATTTTATCCTCGTCCTGGCTTCGTCGTGCGTCAACTTCCGGAGGTCCGCGTGCATCTCTTGGGCCGATGCCCGGCCCACCGGGCGGCGCTTCCCTGGCCGCCGCCCGCGAACCGCGCGCTGGGGAGGCGCCGAGCCACGAGAGCGTGCGCGGAGCTCCGCAAGTTTGATGTGCAGTTTTTCCTTTTCTTCCAAGGCGGGGGCTTCGGGAGGAGCGCGTGGTCGGCACCCGACGGAGGAAAAAATGCAATCGTCGTCGAGGCCATCGTCCCCGTAGCGATCTCGGCGCGCGGAATCTGCCCGAAGCCTTCCAGTGCATAGTCATCGCCAGTCGCACGTCTGGCAGCAGTGTCCGTGCGGCGGTCTGCGTACTCGTCAACGCTCAAGCTATGAAGCTGAGCGCTGATGGAGTGGTGAAGACGAAGCCTGTGGCAGTGAATGATTCAAAGAGGTCGGTGCAGATCGGCGGGCTCCCAGCTTCTGCACATGTAAAGTGATGCTGGAGCTGGCCACGGCGGGTCCGCTGGGCTCTACCGACTTTGCCGAGATGGTGGCCACGGAAGGCAGTGCAGAGATGGGCAGCATCGAAATACGTATGAGGGACGCCGAACACGTCGCATTGGAACCTTCGCTGGAAGTCAGACTCACAGGGATCCAATCGCCGAGGTTTGTGGGTAGCAGGCGTGACGGGTACATGTTTCTGTCTCGATTGCTATGGATTCATTTGTGGATTTTCCCATGGTCCGGCGGGGTTTCCCACTTGAGCGCGCTTTTTATTCGTATTCGTCGCTCTGCCCATCGTTGCGGTATGCCACAGCAGAGGACTGTTCGGCCGCTTTGCCTCCTTGGGGAGTGCGCAGCGACCTGCGTTCTTCAACAGGTGCATGTGCAGCTAGCTAGCCCGTTGCACTGGAACCACTGCCACTATGGGGTGTTCGGTGGCGGCAGCAGTTTCGCGCGGGCGGAGGTTGGCCCATGGAACGAGCTGGTCCTGGTGTGCGGCCCTCCTGGGGATTCCGCAACTTCGACGACGTGGGCCCGACGCGAGAGCCGGCGCGTTACCTGACGTCTTACTCCGCGCCTGACCCGACGGCACCCCTCGCGGTGCTCTGCACCAGGGCTCAGCCATAGCTGTGAGTTCGATCTTGTATCTTGCCGTCTTTGTAGGATAAGCACGCCGACTTCGTCGTTGACATCATTATCGTCATCACCATCACCATCACCATCACCATCACCATCAACATCATCATCATCATCATCACCATCACCATCAACACCATCATCATCATCATCATCATCATCATCATCATCATCATCATCATCATCATCTCCATCTCCATCACCATCACCATCACCATCATCATCCTCAGGATCAGCGTCATCATCATCGTCAACATCATCATCATCGTCATCGTCATCGTTATCATCATCACCATCGTCTTCATCATCATCATCATCATCATCATTAGCATCATCATCATCAGCATCATTATCAGCATCACCATCATAATTTGCATCGTTATCATTATCGTCATCGTCATCCGCATCATCACTCGTCTTCACGCACTCCTCATCTCCATTGTCATCATCATCATCAATATCACCGCCACCATCGTCATCGTCATCATCATCATCTTCATCATCAACAGAATCATCATCGCGGTTATTATCATCAGCATCATCATGATAATCATCATCATAGCCAGCATCACCAACATCATAATTATCATCATCATCATTTTTGTCATCGTCACCGTCGCCGTCATCATCATCACCGTCACCTTCATCTTCATCATCATTATCATCATTATCGTCGTCATCATCATCATAATCGCTAGCTTCTCCATCACAGTCATCATCATCATCATCATCATCGTCATCATCGTCATCATCATCACCGTCAGCATCGCCAGCTTCTCCATCATATTCACCACCGCCACCACCATCATCACCACCATTATCAGGACCATCATCATCATCATCATCATCATCGTCATCATCATCATCATCATCATCGCCAGCTTTTCCATCATATTCACCACCGCCACCACCATCATCACCACCATGATCAGGACCATCATCGTCATCATCATCATCACCATCATCATCATCATCATCATCGTCATCATCGTCATTACCCACATATGGACTATCATCAGCCGTCCTTTGCACATTAGACTGGCTTCTAAGTCCAACTTGTCTGTTCTGTATTGACTTCGTGGGCCACCTCGGCGCACCTGCGGCTGCTTGTCCGACTCGCGCCGCCAGCGTGATTGCCGCCGCTTGTTTCCCGCCAGCCGCCCCAGGGCCCAAAATCGCATCGGCGATTGCCTCACCTCGTGGACCCCTTTCACCTGGGTGCAGATGCATTCCTGCATGGCGACGAGAGACGTTCCTAGATCTCCGATGATATTTGGTGTTCAATCCTGGCGTCTTCCCTCGACCTCAGCTTCCAGGGGCTGTTATCCGGCCCCAGGACCATCAAAACTGGATCCGGGGCGGAAAACTTGCCCTGGGGAAGGGGTCTGGACCACTCGGGCCGCGAATTGGAAACATCGTATCGGCCGATGTCAGGGTTGCAGGTTGAATCCCGTCAGCGGGTAGAGCGCGTAATGGTGCGGCCGCGATGTCCAGATTTTGGCAGCAGGCGAAGCCGCTTGGTTTCAATGTGCTGCATCTTGCTGGAGGCCCCCGCATGGTAGAGGAGAGAGCGGACCCCCGTCACAACATTTGGTTTTGTTACCCCCGAGGGGGCCGTTGCTGAAGATTGCGCTGGAAGCGCACCTGCGAGACAGAATCCCAAACAGGAAAGGCCTCCGGTACATCTGCCAATAGCACGCTTCAGCCTGTATGGTGAGAAGGATACAATGGAAACCCATGCCAAGACACACCCTGCTTGACTCCCGGGTGCCTTGGGTTTCTTGGGTTTCGATGGTTTTGCTATGGAGGACGTGACGGTTCCATACCAAACATCAATGTACGTTCTGGGGTTCCAGGGTTGGGACTCCTGTGGAAGGTATCTTGTGGTCGAGCCCCTACTGTAAGGACGGGGGGGGGCGGGGGAGCAAGGATGAAGAGACGAGGGTTGAGAACAGTGAGTCAGTCATGGTGATGGGCACGTGGCGGGTTGTTCCGCCTCCTCCTCTTACTCCTCCTCCTCCTCCTCCTCCTCCTCCTCCTCCTCCTCCTCCTCCCTCCTCCTCCTCCTCCTCCTCCTCCTCCTACTCGTCCTCGTCCCGTCCTCCCCCTCCTCCTCCTCCTCGTCCTCCTCCTCCTCCTCCTTTTCCTCCTCCTCCTCCTCCTCCTCCTCCTCCTCCTCCTCCTCCTCCTCCTCCCCCCAGCTTCGTTTGCTCCTCCGTTTCCCAGTGCTCCGCCCTTTTTTCCCCTTCCTCCGCCTCGGGGTCTGGCAGTCGTGCTGTTTTTGTTTGGGGGGGGGGCGATGTTTTGAAACCCACACATCGTGGTTATAGCTGGGCCCTCTTTGGGTATGTTCGTGGCCTCTCGGGGCCAGGTGAGAATCATCTCGGGCTCTTCTGGCTCTCGCGGGGATGTCTCGGAACTTCTTCGTGCAGCTGTTTTTGGGTGCCCATTGCGGGAGCGTTGGGTGCTCTTTGGAAGCTTTCTTGGGCCGTGATGGGTTCCTTCGGAAGGCCTTTGGCCCCTCTGGACTGTCCTGGGGCTCTCTGGGGTCTGGGGGTTCTCTTTTCCTCTTTGGGCTGCATTGAGCTTCTACTTGGGTCTTCTTGTGACCTCTTGGGATCTAGGAGGCTGCGAAACCCGAACGGGCGATCACACCAACTACTGTCAACATGAGTATGTTTGAAAATGATTTGGGCCCCCTGGGTGCGTATGCTTGCGGTCCTTTTGGGCCCCCCTGGGCCGTGTTGGAGGCCTTGTTTTTCCATCTTGGTGTCACCCGTGGCCGTCTTTGTCTGTCTTTGTTTGTCTTGGTCGTCTTGGGAATCTCCTGGGTCCATTTTGGTGCCCTCTTGGAGCCATCTTGGGTATTCGTGTGCCACTCAGGGGCTGTCTGGGGCCGTCTTGTGGATTGGAAAGGAGGCGGAGGTTGTCCGAGGCCGTCCTGGGAACTGTGGAGGGTGAGTGCTGGCCTGTACCCTCCCCAGATCTCATGGAGGGGTATTGATACGATGCGAAGCTTCTTGGCAGCTTCTTGTTGTCTCTTGGGAGGCTTCTCGAGGACCTCGTGGAGGCATATCTGGGGCCTCGTGGGGCCTTCTGGGGCGTTTTGGGGCCTCTTGGGCACGTCTGGAACAGGAGGAAGAGGAGAAGGAGGAGGAGGAGGAGGAGGGGATGAGGATGAGGATAAGGATAATTAGGAGGATGAGGAGGAGTAGGAGGAGGAAGAGGAGGAGGAGGATGATTATGAGGAGGAGGAGAAGAAAGAGGAGGAGCACGATAGTGTCGAGCACCACGACCTTGGGCTTCACGCCAGGAGCCAGCAGCACCAGCCCCACATCGACGAGGGAATCGAGCAGTGCAGCACCACGCCTTGTAGAGGCTCCCGGAACCAGCACCACGACGCGGAGCAGCCCGACTCAGTCGATCACCACGGCTTTGAGCGGTTAGACGAAAAGCAGCCCCAATAGCCTCAGTGTCACGAGGGCGGCAAGCGTTTCCGTCAGCAACACGACTTTGAGTTGCAGGGCGGAGCCGAGGACCCCTGCATTCAGTAGCACGACGGGAACCTGCAGCATCTGCCTCGGACTTGTGAGTGCGACAGGCAGTGCGGCGAGAACCGTGTCGTGGGGTCGTGCGGCCTGGACCTGCAGCACGACGCTGAGCAGCACGGGTGGCCGCTCCCCAGGAGTGCGACTACCAGCGCCGCGAGCGACATTACGATCGGGGGCAGCCTGTGGGCCACACACCCCTCCTTGCCCACCTGGGAACACCTCTTTCCCCAGGCCCACCGGGCCGGGCTGCCACCAGCGCCGAGCTTCACTACCTACACCACCTCCGCTCCTGCGCGGTGCCTCCTGGTGGCGCGGCCAGCACGAGCAGCGCCACCGCGGCCCCGCCTGGGCCTGGCACCGCAGACCCCGACATCTGTGTGCCAGGTTGCGTCGACAACGTGCTCTCTGCGGCATTCACGGCCGCGCGTTCGACGGCAGAGGCCATGGTTTGGGGCCTGTTCCAAGTGCTGCGGCCCGAGGCCCTTGACACAGTGCTACTGACAATAGCGGGAGAAAAACAAAACTTCCGGCGGGGAGTCTTCCTGCGACGTCCCTGCTCGCCGTCCTCTCGGGCTCTGCGGTGCCATGCGGACGGGGGGCGTCCGTGCGCTCTGCGGGGCCGGGGGCCTT